GAGAGCAGGACAGACGCTGGAGAAAGAGGCGCAGTCAGAGATTGTAAAGGAAACCAGGCTGAAGAAGGTATTGGGGAGAGGAGAGGATGGATGAAGCAGAGTCTTAGGGAGGGTCCAGAGTAGGAAAGGGTGTGGGGCTGACTGGCTCCCACTATGTGCCCCTTGCATGTGCTTGATCACAAACTCGGCAGCCACTTTCTGTCCCTTGGCTAGATGGTGCTGATCAAGGGACGGGCACTCGTGGACAGGATATACTTGACCCACATTTTGTAGGATCTACAAAAACCACAAGAGCTCTCAGAATGTTACAGTGAGGGCAGAGAGTGCTTGGAGCCCTTTTCCTCCCCTCGGCCCTCCTGTGGCCATCCACACTCCTCCAGAGAGCCCTCCATAATTGCACTAAATAGTGCCCTTCCCCTGCCCCCAAGGCACAGTTCCATAGCACCATCCTCCTAGGGACACACCAAGCTGCTATTGGGTCGGTCATAACATGTCTGCTTTTGTTGATTTGTATCATATATAACACTGTCCCAGGCAGGTGGTGAGCTCAGGAAAAGGACCCACAACTTGTCAGAGCCTGTGCTTCTAGGAACACTCAGCAAAATGTGGGTGTGAGTGTGTGTGTGTGCATGCATGCCATTGTATATCCTCTTCATCCTCCCCAGTTCATCTCAGACCCACTCCCTCAGTCCCCTCCCTAATAGCTCTTCACCTGGTTCACTCTACCAGGAATTCCTCTAACCCCCTTCATCTGTCCAAATCCTCCTCATCCTTCAAGGTCTGGCTCAAGGCTGCCTCCTCTAAGAAATTTTTCTCCCCTCTCTACCATCACCATGACTCTCTGCCCTTCATTCTCTACCAACCTCTTTCATTGGTTTGCCTTTAATTAGATACAGCCTTGTCTTGCTGGCCAGTGGTTTAGGCATTTAATCCTAATTCATTTGTCAGCCCTATAGCATGCTCAGCAGGGCTGGGTACACAGCCCAGGTACAAGCAAAGACTGGTTGGTGCATGTTCTGATGTGTGTGTGTGTGTGTGTGTGTGTGTGTGTGTGTGTGTGTGTGTTTATGTGCATGTTTATGGTCTGTGGGTCCTGAGGGGTCTACAATGTGACTGAATGCATATATTTTGTGTAACCATTCATTTAGTCAAATGACATTTATTGTGCTTATGGGTGTGCAGCTTGTGGGTGTGAACCCTGTTAGTGTGCTATGTATATTGTGAAGGCATTTGGGGCATCACTGTGATGTGTATATTTAGTATGCCTGAGCACATATGAATCGTTGATATTGTGGGTTGTGTCTGTGCAAAAACACAATCATAAGAGTAAGAGACAAATTTGGGTCCTTCCTCTGCCACTTACTTCGACCTGATTTCAAGCAAGTCATCAAATTCTTTGGGCCTCAGCTTCCATATTTATAAAATAGGAAAGATTAACACTTATGATCCTAGGATTGTCTACCTACTAGAGGTCTATCTTGTAGGATGTGAAGATGAAGGGGAGACATAACTGGTGTGAAGTGCCCAGCACAGTGGCAAATAACATTAACCGAAGGTTCCATTTCCCTGTGTGTGTGCATCTGTGCATATGCATATGTGTGTGTGTGTGTGTAAGCAAGAATCCTGAGCACAGGGAGTGTCTAACCTGGGCTTCTAGACATCCTTTCCTCCCCGGAGCTTCTACCCCAGAGTCTGGAACCTAACCAAATCTAGTCTCAGCAGATGTAGGAGGGACATGTCCCTGCTGGGAGCAAGACTAGGACTCAAAGCGGCTTCGGAGCAGCTTGAACTTGGACTTGTTGAACTTAGTGATGAGGTCCAGTTTGCTGTGGCCCAGGGTCAGCCGTTTCTCATCCCCAAATGAGCCATTGCTACTACCATTGCAATGGTCACCTGTGGGTCTCCCAGGGAGGCCATGCTCAGGTCCCTGCCTGGCACCCTGCAACTGATGATACTTGGTGATGAGGTCCAGCTTGCTGTGGCCCAGAGTCAGCCGCTTCTCATCCGCAGAGCCCACTCCAGGCTTGCGAGCACGGCTCGGTCTAGGGAGACTATTGGGCCCCGGCCCCTCACCCCGGAATGGGCCAAACTTTGTGATGAGGTCCAGCTGGCTGTGGCCCAGGGTCTGCCGTCGCTCATCTGGACCCTGCTTGCCAGCCCTGGCTGAGGAGTTGGCTTCAGGGGGCACTCTGGAGCCCCCAGTCTTAGGGTACTGTGGCAGGAGGTCCAATTGGCCATGGCTGTGGTTTGGAGGCAGCCTCTTATGCTCTGGGTTCCCATTGCCAGGTCTGGGGGAACCTGACTCAGGGGTACCCCCAGCACCTTGGGCCTGGGGCAGGAGATCCAGCTGGTTGTATCTCTGGTTTGGGGATAACCTCCTGTCCTTTTGGGCCTGTTCACCAGGCCACAGGGAGTCTGAGTTGGAGGTAACACGAGGATCAGGGCCTCTTGCTTCTCGAGCTCTGGGAAAGGGGATGAGGAGATCCAGCTGGCCATGGCTCTGACTCAGAGACACCTTCTTCTCCTCCACTGTCTCCAGGGCTGTGCCAGGTACCCAGCGACCTCGTGGGGGGTAAGGCTCCTGGCTTCCTGGGAGCCCATTCTCTGGGAGCCTAGATAGGGCTGGGACACCCCGGGAGAAGGGGAGGAGGGAGCGTGGGCGAGTAAGCAGAGGTGACCCCACTGCCAGGGTCAAGGGGCTGGTGCTACTGTGGTTGAGGGCAGGGGAGGACTGGGACCATGGGGACGCCCCCATCTTGCCCAGGTTGGCCCTGCAGGGCCCTGGTGGGGAGCCATGGTTAGGATCTGACAGCTGGCGTTGGAGGGAGGGCTGGCCACTGGCTTTGCGACAAGTAGGGCCTGGGGATGAGGACCCCATTCCTGTGTCACTGCAGCCACCGCCTCCTGGTAGAGCAAGGTAGGAGGAGCGGCCCATGAGAGGGGAGTGCTTGATGCTGCTGAGGCTGGTGCTGGAGTGCGATGAGGACCTGCGGCTTGGGATGCTGGGCCCGAAGGCCAGGGCCACCAGAGGAGGGCACGGTGCCCTGGGATCCTCGCCGCCGCAGAAGCCCTCCACAGGCCGTGACTCGGCATACAGACAGCGGAATTCCCGGTCAAAGTCTTCCACGATGCGGCCCCGCAGCTGCAGCACCATGCTGGTGTGGGCCTGGCTGCAAAGCCAGGTGAAGCTGCGGGCAGAGTGTCAGGGTCAGGAAGCAAAGTGCAGAACCCTGGGCCTAGGCAGGCGTCACAGCAAAAGACAGCCCCACCACCACCACTCCAAGTGAGGGGGCAGAGCTCTGACTACAGAGTTTGTACGGGTCCGAGCCCGGCTTGGTGACTTGGGCACGTGGTTTCCCGCCCCAGGGCCTCAGCTTGCCCGTCTATAGAATGGACCAGGGGCAAGGTTCTCTGAAGTCCCTCCAGTTCCGAGGTAAAATAGTTGTTTTCTATGCCAATAGCATTAAAGTAATCCTTCCACATAGGAACCACTTCCAGGGCCCAGCCTGGGGCTGTTTCACTCCCCACACTGTCCCCTGAGCCCTGCACAGTGCCTGGCAGGTGGCAGCTGCTCAGCCCATGTGGGAAGAGATGGATGAGTGAATGAAAATTCAAAGCTGCCAGATCCCAGGTGCCCCTGCCAGCCAGTGGCCCAGCCCCAGGCCCCTCTGCCTCGGTCCCGCTCGCTCACCTGTAGCTGCCCGCCACCACCTGCTCACAGTCGACGATGACGAACTTCTCCAGGGCCTGCCCCGTGAAGCGGCGGCCCGCCTTGCTGCAGTATGTGTCCCCACATGTGCTCCGTACACGCATGTTCTGAACCAAGGAGGGATGAAGGTTGGGGGGGGGTGGTCTTGAGAGAATGGGACTCAGGCCATGTGTAAATCCCATGGGGTCTCTGACCTTAAACAGCTAAGGGAACCAAGTCCCCCACTCCCATGGACCCCTCCCCAATGTTCACTAACCACCCAAGTGACTCTTCTGCCCTCCCTGACTCCCCATCCCACCCCTGGTGACTGCCCCTGTCCCTCACTGACCGGCAGGTGCCCCCCATTGAGGTCCATCTTATAGCACATCTCCAGGAAGTGGCTCAGGTGCTCCTGAGCCAGGAGCAGGTAGACAGGGACGCCACGCCGACTAGAGGCCTCCATGAGGTCACACAGGAGCTCCATGTCTGTGAATATGTCCATCACCACAGCCACCACCTGGAGGAGAGAGGGGAAGCTCAGCCTTGCCAGAGGCCATGCCGGGGTCCCAGGAAGAGAGCGCTGGATGGGAAAGCAGGAGGCCGGACCCCGCAAGAAAACCTGAACTGAAAGGGCTTTTGGCCATGACCTAGCCCAGTGGTTCTTAACTTAGACACAGGGAGGTTTCGGTATCTTAAACTGCCAGACGTTGTATGGAAGTTTTTGTGTGCATTTTTTTCTGAGGACAGAGTGTGTATCTGTCATCAGGTTCTCAAAGATGTCTGTGGATCAACTGCACCAGGCTAAAGCTTCACTCCACATAGGGGGACACTAAGGCCCAGAAGGGAGAAGGAGTCAGAAGCAGAAGCCAGACCCCAGTTCCCCGTCTGGGCCCTCACTCTCTCCCTACTAGCTCCAGCCCTAGCTCTGGCCCAGGGACTGTCTGTCTGAGGTTCCCTTCTCAAGGATCAGAGCGTCAAGCCAGGCACTGGGGCCTTCAATGTCCTTTGCCAGACCCGCCTCAGTTTCCCTGTAAAGCTACAGAGGTCTGCAAGACATCTTACAACCATGGGTTCCCTCACTCCACCCACCCCAAGTGGGACCAGGTCTTCTCCTCAGTTGAGGGGCTGGGGCTTGCGGCCTCCCTCATATAATGGGCTGCGTCAGAGAAGCCCTGAATAACCCCTGGCGCCACCAAACCCCCAGCTGTCTCTTCCTCCCCCTCCCGTTTCATAGATCTGCTAGGAGACCCTGCTCTCCCAACACAGGCCGACAGGAGGGCATGCAGAGCACAGCATTCCAGCTTGAGCCACACAGACCTGGGTTCACACCTGCATTCTGCTCCCTCCTAGTAATAATGCCCTGGGCGAGTAGCTTCACCTCTGGAAGCCTCGACTTCCTCCTCTGCTAGATGGAGGTAATGGTAGCTGCATCTCAGAGTTACGGGGAATGAAATGTGAAAATACTCAACGCACAACAGAAGCTCAACACATGTTCCTTTCCTGCGGCCTCCTTCACAAACGAGGACATTGGGCCTTGGGTAGCAGGGAGAGGAAGCTTGCCAGTTACTCAGAGTCAGTGGCAGCCAAGAGCAGAAGCTTCTGGCCCAGAGGAGAAGGGTCTAGATGGGGGATGAGGAGGCAAAGTGCTTGGGGATGCCCAGTACATGGCACAGGCCTGACCAGGGATAAGGGGGGAAAGGACAAGCAGGAAAGATCAAAGGGACGGGGTGACCACAGCAGCTACCTCAGTAATAACCTCACTCCCAGTGCCAATTAGACCTGGCCCTCCCCTGCCCGGGGCAAAGGCAGGCCTGCGAGGGAGGCTCCGAATGAACAGTTGAGATCCCAGCATCCTGGCTCCTGCTCTCTGCAAGTCACCTCCGGGCTGCTCCCCCAGACAAGGGCACTGAAGCCAACCTACCGCAATCCTGCCTAGGGCCATGTGATTCATCCCCCTGCCTCCTGAATCAGGGTCCTCTGCCTCAGGCCCAGCTGGAGGTACCGTGCACAGGGGTGAGGGGTGGATGGACACATGCGCCAGGAGTCAGGGCTGTACCTGAGTCAGGACTCTTTCCTCTCCTTCCTGAGCCCTGGGCTCTATTTTACCAACTGACTGCACCTTCCTGAGCATGTCCCAGCCCCTCTCTGGCCTGTTTCCTCCTCTGCAAGTCAAAGGGTGCCTCACATTTCACCGAGGTTGGGATTCTTAGTTTGGGGATCATAAACTTTTTTGAGAATCTGATGAAAGCCATACACCGTCTCCCCAGAAAGATGCAGGAAGGATCCCTCTCTGCAACAAGCACGACTTTGTATGCGTTTTCAGGATGTTTGTGGAGTCCTTGAGGGCCATCCTGTTCTATGCTTATCCATAATGACCCTGAATGCCAAGGGGTTACCAGAATAAATAAAATACAGCTCACCCTCTAAGAGCTTGTGGTCTGATAGGTGCTGCACCTAAGCTGCAGTGTGTCCCTGGGCTCAGCCCTTCCCTCCCGGGGCCTCAGTTTTCACATCTGTGAAATGAATGTCTGAAGAGATGAGGTCCTTACCGTGCGGGCCTGGCTGAAGAGGAAACGCAGAAGGTCTTTGATGTTCTTGGTCTTGTCCCGCTGAAAGTGGACCACCGCCTGGGTGGGGCTGAAGCCCGTGGCCTGTGGAATCTCAGGCCAGCCCAAGTCCAGGTCTGGGGGGTCTATGTCAGAGGCCATGGGAAAGTAAGTGCCCGAGGTGACTTCCGAGAGCAGGCTGAGGCGGTCAGGTCCTGAGGCCTCCAGTCCGTGGGCCTCACCCAGCTCGGGACCCCCACGCACATGGCTGGTCATGTAGTCCACATCCAGGGAGCTCAGGAAGGGCAGTTCCTGCTCTTCCGAGATGACCTGCAGGTAGGCAGCCTCACCCCGCTCCAGGAGGGCGTCGGCCGCCAGCCGGGCTGCCTCGCTGTGCTGCAGCACCAGTGGTGAGCTCTCCCGCCACCAGGGCCGCTTCAGTTCCTCCACCCTGCCCCGCAGGGGTCCTGCCATGCCCTGTGCTCCCAGGCCCCCAGGCCCCAGGCCCCCAAACATGCCCGCCCACCAGGCTGCTGTCACCCTCCAGTGGGCTCCATGGCCTGCACCCCGCTGGTTGCAGCAGGAAGATAGCAGCAAATCCGTCTCCTGCCTGCCTGCCTGCCTACCTGCCCCAGTGTGGCAGGGCCCCCAACCCGTTGCCACCTAAGTCAGGCACTATGCTCCGCCCCATTGCCCCTGGCTTCTGGAACCTGTTGGGTTAGCCTCACCTGTTGGCCTGCTGTTGGGACTTGCCCTCCCAGGAAAACGTCAGTGGTAGGCCCTTAGCACACTCCCACCCCCCCACCCCCACCCAGCATTACGTGCCCCATCCACACCAGCTCCTAGCGAGTTTCCTTCAAACCCTGACCTTCCAGAGCCCCCTTGGAGGTTGTATTATGCCCTTGCTCAGGGACACACACACACACACACACACACACACACACACACGTAGAGGAATGACTCAGGACACCAAGATAAAGACGTGAACACACAAGCATGCAGGCTGACTGACGTACTGAGAGTTGACAGGCACGCATAGCCTACAGGCTGACGTGCAGACCACACATTTTGATCACATGTAAACAGATCCAAACACTAATTCAGAGACTAGCCATAACCCCAAACATACCCTGATGGCTATTGCAAGCCTAGCAGCCCTGCACACAGGCCCTAATAAGGGCTGAAGGGAATGTCACAGGACTGCCAAGGACATGACCTGTCTGTGGGCCTTATTTTGTTCCCTTATGGCCCTGCCACTCTCCACCTCCATAGCTGTGGCATCACGGTCACCTGTCCCACCTTCACCCCAGCTCTCAGCCCATCCTCGAGGGTCTAGAGCTGTGGCTCTCACTCTACAGTTCCCAAGACTAGCCAGGATGTGTTAAAATGCAGATCCCCAGGCTCCACCCACCGGAGATTCTGATTCAAAAGGTCTGAGTGGGCTCCTGGAGTCTGCCTTTTTAAAAGTGACACGGTGCAGCTGGGGCAGTGTGCTGAAGCCCACCCTGAAGAATGCTGTTCCAGAGGCCACATTTCCCACACCCTCAACTCCAGGGAAGCTCTCGGCCTGGTGGGGACCAGACCACAGCCTTCCTCCCCGCCTCAGAAGCTGAGTATTAAATGGTTAGTAAGAAAGGTGGTTTCCAAGAATGTGAGGGGGGAGGGGGACCCACTGCGAAGTCAGGAGGCAAACAGGGCTAGCAGGTTTCTTATCTCTGTTCCTAACATGGGCCGAAGTCCCAGCATCCTCAGGAGCATGGGTGGGAGGCTTTGCTCTGGAGAAGCGGGGTCAGCAGATGGCAGCTAGTTGGGGGGCCAGGCCAGGCAGAAGTGGTCACAACAGCGTAGTGCCTGCTTGAGGGGCCACCTTCTATGGAGGGTGAGGTCCAATGAGGATGGCCAGGAGGCCCGATGCCATGTCTGGAGACCCTGTTTAGTGCTGATTGCAATTGGTCTATCTGATCTGGGGTCAGGCCCAGAGCACAGGTTCTTTTATGTCCACAGAGTTTCCCACACGGGGCCCAACACATGCACAGGGGTGCAGGGACTAGGCCCCCTCAGCGTCGAGCTGGGCCCTGTGATCAAAGATGAATGAGTCTGGCTTTGTCTTCAAGGAGTTTAGAAGTGGGCAAGGGACAGGGGGTAGGGTGGGGGGAGAAAGTAGCATAGGCCAAGAGCTGACATGTGGGAACATTACATCCCATCTCAGGGGCAGGGACAGAAACTGGAGCAGCAGGAGCTGGAAGGAGACCTTTCCCTGGGGCTGGAGTGGCTGTGTGAGGGGCAGGAGGTTGAGTAAACAAGGTCAGACCGTGGGAAGGTAATGAGCTGTGGGGCAGCCAAGGTGGCAAGGCCTTCATTAGGGCCTTATCCTCAGATTTATTTGAGGGGAGAACCAGGGCCTTATCTGGGTTGAAGAAGTGCTCCTGGGAGGGAAGGCAGCCACGTTTCTATGTTGCTGAGTCCCTGTGTGAATCCCTCAGCATGCATATGGTATATATTTTTGGCTTTTCTTTTTTTAAAAACTATTTTAATTGTGGTAAAATATACATAACAAAGTTTGCATCTTAACCATTTACAGTTCAGTGGCATTAAGCATGTAAATATGCATGGTTGTGCAACCATCACCATCATCCATTTCCAGAGCTCTCTTCATCTTGCAAAACTGAAACTCTGTACCCATTAATAGCTCCCTATTTCTTCCTCTCTCCAGACCCTGGCAGCCACCTCTCTACTTTCTGTCTCTATGAATTTGGCTACTCTCGGGTACCTCATGGAAGTGGAATCATAGAGTATTTGTCCTTTTGTGACTGGCTTATTTCACTTTGCATAATGTCCTCAAGGTTCATCCATGTTGTAGCCTGGTCAGAATTCCCTTCCTTTTTCAGGCTGAATAATATTCCATTGTGTGCATATACCACATTGTTTATCCATTCAGACAATGATGGACACTTGGGTTATTCCTACCCTTTGACTATTGTAAATAATGCTGCTTGAATATAGGTATACAGATTTGACTCTGTATTTTTATGTATTTCCCTCTATATCCACATTTGTATTATATTTCATTTTTGTAAGTAAAAAATCCCCACACTTAATATTGACAATTTTATATGGTTCGACTCAACATATATACTTATAACTATGCCGAACTGTACCTGTGCATGTATGTACATGTATGTACTGTGATGTTTGCGTGTCTACTTGGCGGTCTTTAAGCATCTAGCTGCATGTCAGTGTATATTTGCCTATGTGTGCATCTGTGTATACATACTCATGTGCGCCTGTCTGGGCAGAGATCTATTTGTGTACATGAGTGCCTGGACAGTGATGGCTGGGACCCTAACTCTGGTACAAGGGAGTTCAACTGAGAAGGGCAGGGGTGGGAAGACTGAGTCAAAGGGATCCCTGACATCCTGATAATGAAAGCATGTAAATCAAACCCCCCAGGGCTGCAGGAATGGAGGCCCCTCCCTATGGACTGAATGGGTAAAGGGCAACAGGAGGGTAGATAGATGGATCCTGGCCATGGGCCTGCGGCTAGGGGTGGGGACCCAGGGTGATGGGAACCATACAGATAGCTAAGCCCCGACCAGTGTGTTGGGCAAAGGTCCCTTAATAACTGTTATTAAGAGGGGAAAAAATAGTTTCCTGTCCAGGGGTTGTGTCAGGCGCCTGCTTGACATCCTTCTGACTTCCTGGGGGACACTTAGCCTTGTCTCTAACCAGCCGAGTGGCGCCTGGGCAGGTGACTGTCTGTGGGGGTGGTGCGAGCAGAGGCTGGGCTGCAGCCCTCCAGGTGCAGGCTGCTCTGATGCCAATATTACCACACACCTTTAATGTGGCACCTCCAGGAGAGGGGAGATAAGACTCCCGGGGAGAAGCAGCCAGGGCGAGTAGGGGAGCCAGTGTGCCCCACTCCCTTGAATCAAGGCAAAGCAACCTAAGATCTAGAGATACAGGGCCACGTGGTAAGGATTCCCAGAGGTTGGCTTGAGGTGGGTATTAGAAGATGAAAATGATTTCAAGATGTACAGAATGGCAAACAGGGTATTCCAGGCTGGAGGTAGAGGGACAAGGGCATGCCTAGTGAAGAAAGGTGGGGGCGGTGGTATAGGGAAAGGGCTGTCAGAAAGGCCATCTGGGCCACACTCTGAAGAGGATCTTGTTAAAGTGTGGCCTCTCTGTGCAAAGATGATGACACAGAGGTTGGCAAGATTCCTAGAGTGGAAGCAGTCCCCCGGGGGGGAGAGTAGCCCAAAGCACCAGACTCCCAGAAACAGCCCAGGTGGGTGTGGTTCACTGACCCTGAGTGCCACAGAGGCCTCCGGGAGGTCACGCTGGCTCTGCACCTAATGAGTTGAACAATCACAACTCTGAGTCACAGTGGCTGAATCTGCAAGATGGGACCAACACTACCTCCTTCACCAGGTTGTTGTGAGGAATAAGCAGGCTACTCTGTGTCAAGTGACTGACTGAGGGGAGCAGTAGCCCAGTACCTGCTGATTCCAGAGCTTTTCAGGCCATGAAAGGGCAGGGGCTTGGTGAAGGCCAGAAGACAAATGAAGCAGTGACTGGGGCGCCTCCTGGTCAGTCTTTGGCCCCTTCTGGTCCAAAGGCTGGCCCTGAAGGTGAACATGGCTCCTGGCTGTCCGTGGAGTGTGGCTCTGAGATGCTCTCAGCCCAGTTCAGGAGGCAAGGTCCTCTCCCCACTTTGCATACACAGACCAGTATTCACACCTTTCTTGGGCACTTGGGACTCCAAGGAATGAGAGTTTTGGCATTCTACTTCAGAAAGGTGGCTGTGTCTGTGTCTAGGCTGTAGACACTGTGACTCCCTCACATTCTTCCCTCCATCCCTCTCCATCATCTCATTCAATGGTGGGTGATCCCGTCCCCACTCCCTCTCCCTCTCCATCCACTCCACCCTGCAGGCATTTACTTATTTATTTGTATTGATTTGAGAGAGAGAAAGAGAGGAAGGGAGAGGAGAGAGAGAAATTGATGTGTTGTTCTACCCATGTATGTACCCACTAGTTGTTTCTTGTGTGTGCCCTGACCAGAGATCAAATCTGCAACCTGGGTGCATTGGGATGATGCTCTAACCAACTGAGCTACCCAGCCAGGGTACACTCTGCATGTATTTAATGCCTACGTTAGGCCAGCATTATGGTTCCAAAGATGAGTAAGACTTGGTCTCTGCCCTGAAGGAATTCAGTTTAGTGGGGAAGGCAGACTCATAATTATAAGCCACAGATTAAGCTGAGGTATAAACCAAATGCTTGGGGTTTAGAGCTCATGACCCATTCTGGAATCATGTCCCCACTCCACACTGCCAGCTAGGGAACAGCCCTGTGGCGGGCTTTCTCAGATGGTCACTAGTTGAAGGAGCTGTTTCTGGCCACAGGGAGAAAGAAAGCAAGAGGAAAGGGGCAAGCCAGCACAGGCCATGGGTTCTGGTTGCTGACTGAAATCTCGAGTGAGCTCTCAGGGCCTTGGCTCCTGCCTGTAAAGCAAGCGGCTGGGATAGAGGCCTCCAAATCCCTCACAGAACCCATATGGTATTCTATCACTTTTTAAACACACACACACACACACACACACACACACACACACACACACACGTTTATTGACTTCCGAGAGGAAGGAAGAGGGAGAGTTAGAAACATCAATGATGAGAGAGAATCATTGATTGGCTGCCTCCTG